AGAATTTATGATTTATTGTATACACACATATTATGTTGAAGCATATTTTTTAATTTGTAGTATAATTTAAGAAAACGTATGTATATACTTATATATTGAGCGGGTCGGGTCGGGGCTGGTCGGGGCAACACGGGTCAATACTAATAGGCGGGTTTCGAACTCGAGACATCTCACTAGGCACGGTAACCTTGCAACAAGCTGGGCTGGAATGTTTGGGTTACTCTTTTTAATATATTATCTTTCCTACTTTATCATTTACCATACACACTCTACATTTATCCTACTATTTTTCTATTAAAACCCGTGCCCAAGACTAGCGGGACAGGTAATAAAGAACGGAGGGAGTATTTTAGAAAGAAAAAGGGTAAAAATGAAGTTATTCAAAAAATATTAAAGAAACTAAACTTAAAAAATCTGTTTCAGGGAAAGACATAAAAGAACGAATGAACAAACCTTTATGAGAAAATTCCATAAATAGGAGTAAAAAAGTTTGAAGATTCCAAAATAGCTTAGGACTGCCATGTTTTTATATCCAAAATAGAGACTAATTATTATCAAGTTTGTAAAATATTATAATGTTTAAAGTCTGACACTGCCAAAATATGACAGTAATTAATCATATTTTGGAAATAAAAACATGAGAGTCATATTTTGAAATTTACAAACGTTTTTAGGTCTATCATTATGGATAATTTCCCAACCTTTATTATATTCATACATATGGAGTATTAAATTAAATAAGTAAATAAAATAAAAGTGAATGTACTGTTTTGCAAAAGGATACATTAGCTTTAATTAATTAGATGTAGTGTATAGATACGTATTGTGAATATAGACCAAGAAAAAAATACGAATTCATGATACGTGACTGTTTCTAACTATTTGACAGAGTGTAAAATTCGTAGACAAAAACTGAATTATTTGGTATCACGTACAATTAAATAAATTAATTAATTAATATTAAAAATAAGTATAGCGAAGACAATTTGGGCGCAGTGTAAGTTAAGGGTCAAAGTCCAGATTTGCACGGGCATGAGTGACGGGTTGAACATCCACCAAACATTGAATCTGATCTAGGAAACATAAAATCTAGCTTCTAGTCAAAACCATCGTGCTTAGCTTCCGGCCAATTCCGTTTAATTTTCTTCATAAAATAATATGCACCAATTAACTAGCTATATGAATTAACAAAATATAATTATATATTCTAAAATCAATGATACCATGCATTCTATTTTAATTCATACGTAGTATTAAAAAGACTTCGGATTACCGGGGGCGGACCCAGGAAAGTCATCATGGGGGCGAAAATATTTTTTGGGAGGTCAAAATATTTTTTGAGAGGGAGAAAATTATTTTTCATATATATATATACACTAAACAAAATTCTTGTTGGGGGGCGGTAGCCCTCTGAGTCTGTACTACGGTTCGCTCCTGTGGATTACAAACGCGTACACATCGTAAACGAAAAAGTGTAATTCCAGAATTAGATTCTTCATTCTAATAAAACTCATGCACTTAAACAAGAGAAAAACCAGTTAAAAAACAGAGGTGGACGTGTACCTCTTACACCCTTTATCAACAACTAAATTGATACAATTTTAATCATTTTTATGATCAAATAATTTCCGTTTTATTTGGCATTGGCTCGATTTCAATTTATTGATACCTTTTTGTAAAGTACTTCAATTATAATTCTATGTCATTTTTCTCATTGTGCAAATTTAGAGTCCTACGTACACTACTAGGAAAAATTTGTTACCTTAGTTGCGAATCCTGGATCCAAATTCCAATTACATTGTTGGTCAATATATTTCATATATATTGTCCAAATAAATTTTCTTTACAAGTTTTCTTGGTATGTTTTTTATTGCGAATAATCAAAGATTTTATGTATTGACTTGAAAAGTCTGACCAGGACCATGAATAGGGGAGGAAAGTTATATTCATAAAGTAAAAATGGTTTAGAGTCGTACAAACTTTACCAAATCTGATATGAGACAATCTTAATGAGACTTTTCGAAAAAGTAAAATGAAACAATCTTGGCGGACGAAAGCAGTAATATTTTAATGTAAAAAATACTTGCTAAAAATATACATGCCTTCAAATTATACTAAGATAGTTTATTATATACATATGCATGTATATAATTTGTTTCATATAAATAGTAAAATGAGAATGGATTTAGTTCATAATTAATACAATGAACAGTTTGATGTTATACATTGAAATTAATGAACACTTAATATATGAGCTGAGTCAACAATTTGATACCATGTACCCATAAAAAATTATATGATGTACGTAGTTCAGCCGTTGCACTGTGCAGCTTAGAACTGTTAACGAACCGAACTTTTATCGAACTATTCGAGTTCGAGCTCGGTCTTGAATCTAACGAGCCAAGCTTAACGAGCTTTTGAACTCGAACCCGAGCTGAGTTTTAAGTTCAAAAAATTAATCGAACCGAGCACGAACATAGTAGTATTCGGCTCGGTTCGAACTCGATCCTATCGAACACCCTTAAATTATAAATATAATTTATATAAATGACAAAATTTAAATATAATTAGTATGATTTTATGAATTTAAATATGATTATTAACAAATCGAATACGTGTCGAATCATTCGAGCTCTAGCCTATTAGCGAGCATCGCCTAAAATTTTAACTTCGAGCATATTTATCGAGCTTATCGAGCGCTCGGATCGAACATCGAACGCCTATCAAGTTGAACACGAGCCTCATTTGTAAAGCTCGCCGAGCTTCGAACTCGAACCCGAAACACCACTAATTCCTTATCGAGCCGAACTCGAGCTTTGGGTGTTCGGACTCTACAACCCTAACCCGACCCACCTAACCCGTGGGTTAAACGGGTTGGCCCGCGGGCCAATATGTAAAAAAAATATATAACAAAAAAAATTAAAAATAATTACCCGGAAGTATATATTTATATTAGTAAGTAGTAACAAAGGAAATATAAGAAATCAAAATACTAAAAATTCAATACTTGTTAAGTTTAATTAAAAAATATTAAATACTAGTTATACGAGAATTTGAAAACTATAAGAGTGTATGCGACAAAAATACTCATTGTATAAAAATAAAGATCTACATAACCTTTTGATTAATTATTTGTAAATAATGATTACTAATTGTTAAATATTGTATCGAACTTCACATAAAATATATGTTTCAACATTTTATTTGAAAATTTATTATAGAAATAAATATTGTTTTGCCATGGTTGTAATTTTTATTTGTAATTATAATAATATTGGTAGTAAAAGGACAATATTTAAGATAATAAAATTTAAAACTATATTTTTGTATATTGGCCCGCGGGCCAACCCGCAACCCGGTGGGCCAACCCACTTAAACCCACAACCCGTGTGGGTTGACCCGTGAAACCCGTGAACTAAATGGGTCAGAAATTCGCAACCCTAACCCACCAATAAATGGGTTTAAACGGGCCAGGCGGCCAGCCCGTGGGTTTCGGCCCATTTTGACGGCTCTACTCTAGCGTCATACTTTCCTCTAACCCAAGAAGAAGAATGTCAGTTCTGATTCTTCTAATTCAAATTTGTTTAGGCCTTCCTTCTCCTCTCCTCTCCGCCTATTAGAAAAACAATACATTCATATAATTTCGTATTTCAAAAAAATTATTACTCCCGTCCTACAAAATTTGGTGTTATTGACTTTTCTTGATCAATGATGCTCAAATTTAACCAATGATATTATATAGCATGAAATTATTAACAATTTGGAAATTATATGAAAATGTTCTTTGGTTTTTATTGAAAGTAAAATGTTCTTTGTTAAAAATACTTTTAATAGATAAAATTAATTTCAAACAACACCAGAAATAAATTAAAAGTTCAAATTTAAAAATAAAGATTTAGTATTATGTTAAAATATTAACTCTTTAATTTTAAATTGAAATATTATTATTTTTCCGTTGTAAATGAAGCACTTCAAATTTATAAATATTAATTTTAGTCTTGTTGCGTAATTTTGACCACATTGTTTCATTTTTTGAAATAACATTCTTTGATTTCATTTAACCTTAATAAAATTAAATTCACTGTTTTGTAATCTTGGGCTATATATCATCATACAAAATACTACCTCCGTCCCAAAATGAACTTCCCATTTCGGATTACGATGCTTGATCGACGATAAAGCAACTCGATCCCTGTTCATACTCAGATTACTTTTAGTAAATAAAATTTTCATATTGAGAAACTACATTAAAACCGCTACAAAGGCCGATAAAAAAATAAAAATTTGATAAAAATTTGATATATAAAACATAAGATTAAGAGTAATTTAAGTTGGCCATGTGAATAGTGACTGTGAAGTTCATTTTGGGACGGAGGGAGTATGTAATTTTATAGTGCAAAGAATGCAAAAAATGAATATTTTTTTGCATTGCAACACATGTTTTAACACTTTTTCGAAAGAATCTTAAATATATAGTAAAGTTTTAAAATAATATCTTATACTAACAATATTAAATTGTGATATAAAAACAACAAAAGGGAGAATTGGACACATTTACATATTTAAAATTTTTATTTTTATATTTCGACTTTATAATTTATTTTTGGTGTTTTTTGAAATTTATTTCAATTTAAAGCCAATAAGGATAAATTTGCTCCTTTATAAGAACATGATGAATATTTTGGCACATTTTTAAAAGTCAGGGATATATATGAACTTCAACATATATTTCAGGTGTATATTTGTTCCGAAAAATAGAACAGAGATATATTTGTACCGACACCCATATTTGTACCTTTTCCCATATTAATATAATTTATTTCGCGTATGACTGTAATGGGTAGGTAGCTTAGTGTATGACTGTATCATTTGATTTCGTGTAGCTTAGAATTAGTTTCTTCTCCACTTATAATAATAAATATAAATAGGTGAGTTGAGGCGGTGGGTGTTAGTTAGCAGGCCAAATTAAGCATAAAAAGTGAGTGTTTAATTTGATAGGGCGGGCGGGCATGAGTGAAAGTAATGAAACTTCGCCGTCATTAACCCCTAACTGCAGCTGGGTTCAATTCTGTCAACGCAACGCACAACCCACCGCCACGGGGCCCATCAGCTCACCGTCTAACGGGCTGAGCCCCGACGGCCGGGTGGCGAAGCCAGCCCGACGGAGGCCCAGGGCGTCGCGGCGGACTCCCACCACCGTTTTCAACACGGACCCCTCCAACTTCAGGGCCATGGTCCAACAGTTCACCGGCGGCGGTCTGGGTCTGCTTCCGCCTCCACTGCCGTCCCCGTTTTCATTTCCCGGCGGAACGGCTGCAGCAGGATTGGGGTTCAGGTTCGGGCCGCCGCACCAAGTGCTGGAGAATCTTATTAACTTTCCTCAGAGGGCCGCGAGTAATCACAGTATGCATTTTGAGGCGGTAGCCGGCTCCTACACGTCGCCGCTCATGACGAGCAGCGGCGGCAGAGCTTATGATGTTCACACACAACCTTTTGTGGGCAGGGTTTCATTTCCGTCACCTCAACACGGAGGGTCTGCCTCTTCTTCTGGCCTCGAATAAGATCGATCTAGCGGCTATATATGACCTGATCGATCAGTTGAGGTTTTTATATCTAGGTCGGCCGGCCATGCGTCGCCGGCCGGATCTCATATATATAGGAAGCGGTTCCGATAAGAACGGACTCCCAGGAGAGAAATGAGAACGAATCTGGACCGTTGGATTATATTATGTGAAACTGAATTGGGCATTTGGTGAAACTGAAATATGCATTTGATGACATTGAAATGTGCAGAATAATAATTTAAATTCAAGTGTGCATTAGATGAAACGGAAATGTGTTGACTAAAAGGTACAAAAATAACATCGCATCGTACCTTTTATTCTGCACATTTCAGTTTCACATAGTGCACATTTCAATTTCACTTCATGCACAATTCAACTTCACATAATGCCACTGTATCGTACCATTTGTGCTGCACATTTCAATTTCACCTAATGCAAATTACAGTTTCATCTCATGCACATTGAATTTCACTTTAAGTAAATCTAACGGTCCAAATTCATTCTCATTTTTCTCCTAAGATTATGTTCTTATTTAAACCAAAACCTATATATATATAATAAGGATCAAATGAGAAGAGTGCTTGTCGTAAGAAGTGAGAATGCATCTGGTGCGTTCATTTTAAGACCTGTGCATCAGATTAGCAAAAAAGTGCACGGGAAAGTGCAAAAAATATTAAAAAAGTGATGCTAGACGCGGTGGCATTTCCGTAATTAATCGGAACTTTTCTGTCATCGCAAAAAGTGCTTCAGATTAGCAAAAAAGTGAATCAGGAATAGATAAATGTGTAACTTCTCACTTTTCAGGTTAAGAACATATATATTCTTAAGGTTTTAGTTTCACACTGGCCTAGCTATATAGATAGATTGTACGACCGGCTGGTACTATTCTTTTCAATTCTTTTAATTTGGAATGGATTATTATATAATTTGAATTGCAAACTTTGATCGACACAAGGATTAAGCAATGACAATAAATGATGCTTGCTTTTTACACTTTTGCCCATCTTTCTAAAAGTAGATGCATTTAAGTTAATGGAGAAAAAGTAAAAGTAAGGGTAAACTTGTCAATTTATTCTTATTTACATACCTAAAATAGAAAGTGAAAAACCATTTTGGGACAACCAAAATAAGAAATTTTGCAAATCAAATTGGAACGCATGGAGTATTCATTGATAAGTTTTACTAGTTAACATTAGAAATTACTCCAAATAAGACTAAAACTATACCGAAAATTCAAAATAGGACTTACTATGTTTTTCTTTTCAAAATAGGACCATATTAGGAGTTTTTTCCCGGAATAATGCTAATTAAATAAATTATTCCCGAAATACTGTCGGATCAAGAATAATTCCCAAAATACTGCTGGAATTAATCACGGTTAAGGAAAGCCGCCACTCCAAGTGGCGGCTCTTGTATAACTTCACAAAAGCCGCCACTCCGAGTGGCGGCTCTTCTCTTATAGTACAAAAGCCGCCACTTCAAGTGGCGGCTCTTCTCTTACGGCCCATTTTGTACATATATAAAACGCAATATGTTTCAAAAAATTGTTTAACTGCCTTCCCGATTGAATTTTGAGCTGAAATTTGGTATGCATAAAATAAACTTGATGAGGAACATGCTCACAAAAATTCATCAAAAAAATTCACCGGAAACACCCTCTAATGGTGTTGTCCGCGGGGGGTTCCGGTCAGGACGTCATGACAAAAGAATGGTCCAGTCACCTCAGTTTGAGGTGGTTCCCGGTGGTATGTTTTGATAAAATTTTTGTGTATGTTCTTAATAAAGTCTAGTTCAGTCATACCAAATTTGAGCAAAACATTCAATCCGAAAAACTGTCAAATGATTTTTGAAAGATAACTACGCCGGATTATACATATAGAACGCAGCTATCTTTAAAAAAATCATTTGACTGATTTCCCGATTGAGATTGGTTCTGAAATTTGATATGGAGTAACTGCACTTGATGAATAACATACACAAAAAAACTCAGCAAAACATCCCACCGGTAATCACCTCAAATTGAGGTGGCCGGACCACCCTTTTGTCATGACGTCTTGACCGGAACCCCCCGCGGACAACACCATTAGAGGGTGTTTCCGGTGGAATGTTTTGATGAAATTTTTTGAGCATGTTCCTCGTCAAGTATAATTTATGAAACATATTGGGAAGGCAGTTGAACAAATTCTTGAAACATACTGTGTTTTATATATGTACAAAATGGGACGTAAGAGAAGAGCCGTCACTTGAAGTGGCGGCTTTTGTACTATAAGAGAAGAGCCGCCACTCGGAGTGGCGACTTTTGTGAAGTAATACAAGAGCCGCCACTTGGAGTGGCGGCTTTCCTTAACCGTGGTTAATTCCAGCAGTATTTTGGGAATTATTCTTAACCCAACAGTATTGGAAACATACTTATTTTTTCATTCCTTTCTTACCCTTCTTTTAAATATGAGTTAATTAAATTCTTAATTCATAATAAATTCGAAAAAAATTCAAAAATTCGTAGAAAAGTAATTAAAAAATTATAAAATATTTATAAAATAAATTTTTTTAGAAAAATATGTTTTTTAAATTAATAAAAAAGTAAAACTCCATAAAAAATTAAAACAAATATGCATGCCTTTCCCACCGCCTGTACTACCTCCCTGCACCACCATCTTCGGTCAGTGAAAAAAATGTCATTTTTCCTAAAAACTGTCATTTTTCTGAAAATGCCAAAAACATTACATATTTCTCTTTGAGAATGCCAACATTTTCATTGTTTTCTGCCATAAATATGGCATTCGTAATGAACTTAGCAATTTCCCCCCTCATAACTGGAGGTAGTGGTGCAGAGGCGGCGGTGATTTTTTTTTTTTTTTGAGTTTTTTTATTTTTTTTTAATTTTTCATTTTTGAAAAAAAAAATTATTATTATCGAAATATTTTTATTAATTTTTTAGTATTTTTTACGAATTTTTATTATTTTTTATTATTTTATTATGAATTAAAACATTTCAATAGCTATAAGGGTATATTTGTCCAAGACACACATAATTAATCCTATGAAAATATAGTTTATATTTTGGTCCTATTTACGCAAAGTGAGTAACTTTTAGTCCTATTTTGATAATTAACCCTACAGATGAAATTACTCACGATATGATTAAGACGTAGCATTTTTATTAAAGTATGATCATATGTTTAATTTTCCTTAAATAGGACTAAATATTACATATTCACCCCTAATTTAATTAATTAATATGTAGTATAATTAATTGTCATCTCTAGTTCCCTTGTATTACCAAATCCATTTTGTTAGTGGTGGATCAGTCCGATGACGATGACGGAGAACTCCGATGACGGAGGCGGACATGTAGATCGGTAGCGGTGATCTAGGTGAATATTCTGGCGACCAGCAGTTGCAGTCTGCATTTAGAAGTCTATGGACTTTTTGAAAGTTAATAAACTTATCCATGAATTTAAAAGTCAATATAATTCATTCATACAAAAGTCTATGGATTCAAAAGTCCATTGACTTTTTTAAAAGTCAATGAATTAAAAAAGTCCACGACAATCCATATTCAATACACCCCCCCGTAAGTAGGGGTGGACTCGGGTCCGGGCCGGGTCCGGGTCGGGCCTAGGCCCGGGCGGACCGGCGGTTCAAGAATGATGGACCCGGGACCGGCCCGGGTAGCCACCGGGTCCGGTCCGGGTCCGGGTCCGGGCCGGGCCGGGTCGGGCCTCCGGTTTGGATTTTTTTTTTGCTTTCCTAACCCCCCCTCACCCGCACCCTCCTAAACACCCCCAAACTCATCCTACCCATCAAGCACAACCCGGGTGGAACCCCAAAAATGAAAAAAAAAAAATAAAAAAAATTCAATTTGGCCCGGGCCCGACCCGACCGGGCCGGTTCACCAAAATTGAGACCCGAGCCCGGACCCGGCCTAGGCCCGACCTGGACCCGAGAACCGGGCCGGTCCCGGTCCCGCACAGTAGCGGGCCGGGCCGGTCCACGGGCCGGGTGGCCCGACCCGAGTCCAAGCCTACCCGTAAGTATTAGCCACACAAATCATTACTCGGAACATCATAAAAAGCCAACTGTGGATATTTTATGGAACGCGCTACTAGTATTGACTATTGAGAATTAAGTGCGCCGAAAAATGATCAAATGACATGACAAAATGATTAAAAACACGTCTCCCTCTTTCACTAATAACACATTTATTTTAATATAAATATTTTTTAAATCAAAACGATATAGGCTAGTAAAAAAACTAACAAAAATAGTATCAACTTGAATTATAAATATTGAATGCCTATCAACGTTTTTAAAAAATACCTAAAAATACCTAAAATTATTCGAGGTGCTATTTGGAGCCTAAGTGAGGATGCGGCGCCCGGCCCAGATGGTTTTGGAGGAGGCTTCTATAAGGGGTGATGGGATATCATTGAAAAGGATGTTATTATGATTGTTCAAGAGTTTTTCTTGGGTCTGCCAATTCCGAAAGGTGTGGCTAGTGTGAATATGGTGCTTATCCCTAAAAAATATATCCTACTTTCTTTGGGGACTTTAGGCCTATATTTGTTTATCCACTTTTCTTTGTAAAATTAATACAAGGATTCTTGCATCTAGAATGTCTCTTATTATGCCCAAAATCATTTCAAATGAGCAATCAGGATTTATGAAAGGTAGAGAAATTCAAAACCATGTTTTGGTTGCTTTAGAAATGTTGCATAACCTGGATAAAAAGTAAGAGCGTCTAATGTGGTGGTCAAGTTGGATATTGCAAAGGCATTTGATAGAGTGGCATGGAATTTCCTAGAAGCTATTTTGGGGAAGTTTGGCTTTGCTAATCATGTTATTAATCTGGTTATGGGTAACCTACGGGCTACTCATATCTCAGTCATTATTAATGGTGAATCGTTTGGTTTTTTTCAGCCTCTCCGCGGAGTTAAGCTAGGTGACCCCCTCTCCCCGCTATTGTTTATCATTATGTCTGAGGCATTCTCTAGGGGGTTAAACCAGTTGGATCTAGAAGGGAGATTGGAAGAGCTACCCATATCTCACATTTGGCTTTTGCGGATGATCTCATGATTTTTATGAATGGGTCAGCTAAGTCTATTAAAAACTTTAACAAGTTCCTCCAAGTTCACCAAAAAGCTACTTGACAATTAATAAATAAGGGTAAAAGTTGTTTTGTTCTTGGTAAACATACAACTCGAGGCAGATTGCTAAACATTGGGCACAAGTTGGGCATGAAGGCTTCTAAATTGCCTTTTAAGTATCTGGGAGTACAGATACATAAATGTATTACAAGGCTAGCGCACTGCAACGAGTTGATGGATACTTTTGATAAAAAAGCTGACATGCTGGAGGCAGAAAAATCTATTGCAGGGAGGTAGACTAATTCTTATCAAACATGTACAAAACTCCATTCCTGTTCATGTTCTAGCAGTCATTGCAATCCCAAGGGCAGTCATCAACATGATCAACAAAAAAAATTCTAATTTCTTCTGGGGGTTCAAAGATAATAAGCCTAAATACCATTAGGCTTTTATGAGGAAACTATGTAAGCCTATTGAAGTGGGAGGGGTTGGTATTAGATCTATTTCTGATATTCAGAAAGTCTCTACCATCAAGCTCTGGTGGCAATACCAGAAAGAAAAGTCCATTTGGTCGCAACTGATGCAATCAAAATATGGCAAGAGAAATTTGGGAGATGTTAATGTTAGAGATATTTTTTATTGTGATCCATTGTATTTTATAAAGCCTAGTAGAATAATTTATTAGATAAGCTATTTTAGGTAAAGGCCACATTCCTAAAGGGAATGGGCCTCTTTATTATG